AGCCAAGGGTGAATGTTGGAGTGAGTGCATTGAAGGTGTGACTAGAGTGCTGCTCTGCAACGGAGAAGATGCGGATTTACCCGAAAACGTAATGGAGGGCTGTGTGACAGGAGTCGCAGGTTTGGCAGGCTGGCGCATCTTTTTTGCTGAGACTGGGCTACTCGTATCTTGCTCACCAGAGGTTGAATGCTTTCGCTTCGGCGGATGTTCTGTTCCATTGGGCCCCGTTACTGTCGGTGTGGGAATCGGCAAGACCTTGCGCAAGAGAAATGCCGGCATTTCGTAAGTGACAATATGGCCGGGTCCTTCGTTGATATCTGGTATCGGTTTGTCTCTCTGAGTTACGTATGCGGCCAAGTCCTGTACCTTCAGTTCCGTGATGTCGAATGCTCTAAATTTGACCTTCCGCTCTAGCGAGGAGTGTGATGGTTGGGCCGTTGCAGCCGTCTGTCGTGTGTTCACGAGCGTGAGGCCATATGGAGCCGTCCCGGACAATGGTTCGTTCCAGGCCACAAGCATGCGAGAAAGCAGTATGGGGCCAACATGGTTGAGGTACTTTTTCCAAAACATGTTGATTGGCGGACACGCTTTGAGGAACAAGTGTGTCTCACGAAGTGGATGGTCGTAGTCCATGTTCTCTTTAGCATGGCCCCGGAGCCAGTCATCCGAGTGTACCTTGGGTTGGTTGTAGAACTGCAGAAGCTCGTATCGTGGAAAGTTCGGAGGCACAGTGATTGCCGGCGCCGTTTTCTTGAAGAAGTTACTGAGGGTATTAGCGCCCCATTTGCTACACTCGTCTTGGTTTTGTCTGCTGCAAAGGCTGCGACCAAGACTCGCTTGGGCAGCTTTCAGGGCATTGTCAGCACCGCATTTCGGAAGGCCTCCTCCGTTGTAGTCGCCGCCTGCAAGCATGGCGAACAGCACGCAACCCTGACGATCTAGTCGGCATTTCTCTTTGAGCTTATCAGCGTGGACCACTCTGACCCGCTTCTCGTCTCTCTTGCTTTCGGCATTATGCTGGGTCTTTTTGGACGTGTCCGTGCTTACTCGGTGGTCGCGGATCCAAAAGGTACATCCAAACATCAAGCAATCGGAGTCTGTTGACCATACAGCATCCACAAGACCAAGAGTTTGCAAGCGACAACACTCAGCTTCGGCTTCTCCAGGCGCCTCGATATGAGCCACTCCAAGGCCATCCAGGATCTCGTTCAAGAGCGCACGTTGTTTGCGATCTACCCGGCGTCCAGCATCTCGGCCACGTTTTGGTGGAACATCTGGTCCATCGCTCACGAACACGAGCCGGATGTTCAAGGGAAGGATCTTGCAGATACGATGAAAGATACCCCGTTCCAACGGGTTACAGCGCGGCTCATCTGCGTCAGGCAGTTAGTCATTGACTCTAATAGTAAGAAGCATCTCCAGGCTGTCTGACTCTTGCGCATTGCTTGTATCTGGGCTGGTGACACAGAATGAAATCTCCAATCTGCTTCGTCGACCGCGATCTTCAATGGCCTTCCATATTCTGCGTAATGCTCCTCGGCAAGCCGTGCTATGGGTATAATCTCCTCGCATGCTTCGATTGACCGTCGTAAACTGGTGTAGAGGAGTCAACGTTATTAGTTGATCTAATCTCATGGGGAGCACATACCCCGGAATGCCCATAATGAAGTGGGTCAACCAACGCCCGCGAACGAAGTTAGTGCGGGACGAGCCCTTAGTGTCGCGCACGCGTCGCGTTTGGCGGTAGCAGCGATGCAACTAGCAATGCCAGTACGATGCTTTCGTTTTTGAGCGGCTCCGTTCGAACTGCGTAATTGAGTATAATAGCAAGTTTAGTGCTGCCTGGAGCGATTGTTGAGCGATATGACGCGTATTTTCGACGCGTAGGAGGTTATGGGCGGCGCCGATGCGTCGCTGCGAAGCGAACCTGGCGATGAGATAGTCGATACTTCAGGACAAGGTGTACCGAATTTTTTGAAGGACTTTCAATGTATCCAACGGGTCAATCGATAGAGGGGTTAGATATAAGAAGAGAGGGGAGCTCGAGCCTGAAGTTCCTGCGACGGAAGCTACCATGTTCATCATGTCTCAAACGCGAAGACCCGAAGGTGCCGCACCAATCGTGCGTCCAGGAATTTATCCCGGTAGCGACCAAACGCGGTATCACGTGAGTAGGCGGTTGCGCAGATCTCTGGGAGCTTCAAGTCGTCGTCAGCTCTCATTACCGCTTCTAGAATATTAATGATGCCGTTCGCTAACTAAACGGGCCCATAACTGAGGCGATGGAGAGTTACAATCTCACGACAATACCAGAACGACGAGAATCTTGATCGATCATACCTAGGTGCCTAAGTAGGGTGTTAGCGTAGGTATCTTCGTGTTCTCTTGCTATCCAGGAGTTCTCACTCAAAACCAGTTTACTCGTTTCCGGGTACCTAGGTAGTTGATATCGAGATCGAGAAGCAGAACATTCCACAGGGGATTTATTTCAATCAACAACTGTTTATATTCTCAGGCATGTCCAAACCCCCTCGCATGGCTGTCATCACACTAATGATCACTCTGCTTGCTCTTTCCGCGCATCCTATCGACTATCCCATCTTCCACCCTTGAAACCCTCGTCAGGAACAGCCCCGTTAGCCCTACAGGTGCCGCACATATCCGGATACCCGATGGTCCGCCGCACGCGACTGTACCGCGGACACTGCCTTGCGTTGACATCGTCCTCGAGTCGGTGACAGCGTATAGTTCGCGTCATGGGGGTATGCTCGTGGTTGCAGTCCTTGTACTGAGTCCATCTTTCTTCGCACATGTCGGAAGTAAAAGTTGATGAAGTCCTTGGGTAGAGATGATCTTGTGTATATGGCTTTGCGCACGATGACGTGGGTTTGATGCTTCGGAGCGGAGAAATGCTTTTGGTGGTATAGTCTTATAGCGATTAAAGGCTTGTGCTTAGTAGTTTTGGGGAGTTGATAGCAGGAAGATCATACTTTGCGTACTCGAAACTTCTTATATATCGAGGCGCCCAAGAGTCACAGTTTTGCCAACGAGCTTTCTGTGTCTGTGTCTTTGTGAACATTCTGCTCTGTCTTAAATGCTGGCAGTAATCGATACTCAGATGGCACTCCTTTCCAGAGATATGGTCGCAAACACGTAAACAGATGTTGATGTTCATTAGCCAGTGAAGCAGAGCAAGGCCCGAAAAAGCATCTTGTCATCGAGACCAGCGACTGAGGGTGCTTCACTGATTCGTAATACATTGATCGTTATAGCGGTTGATCTATGAGCTGGCAGCCTTGGCTTGTAGCTGCTCGAGTTGCTTCTTGGCCGCCCACTGCTTCTCTACGTTGATCTTTTTCAAGATCTTGTCGGCGCCCTTCTCGATCAAGACCTTGGCAACCTCTTGTCCCATCTCTTCTGCCTCCTCTGAGCTTCGGACTTTGCGTGCTGCCTCGTACTCAACAGACTCCGTGCCATCTACGCTCACCACCATGGCTCTCAACACTAGTTCTTGATCGTCAACATCTGGCTCTTCCTCCTCGACCGCATTTCCGTGCTTGTCATAGTCCTTTGCTGGTTGTGCACCGATAGTGAGGCCCTTGCCGCCTCTCCATGATGTCTCAACGCCGATAGGCACGCTGCAGCCACCTTCCAGAGTGCGTAGCAGTGCTCGCTCAGCCGAGCATGCTCTTGTCGTCCGCTCGCATCGAACACTGCTCAAAATGTCTTTCATGGCTGCGTCCTTCTTCCTGATCTCGATTCCTAGGGCACCCTGACCGACCGCGTGAAGCATACCTCCGCTCGTACTGCTCAGATACTGCGTGATCCTGTTGTCGAGACCCATTCGCTTCAGACCGGCAGCCGCTAAGATGATAGCTGAGTACGGGGAGTCTTCGGCATCGAGCTTCGCTAGTCTCGTGCCCACGTTGCCTCTGAGGTCGGCGAACTTCAAGTGTGGGTATAGCTTCCTCAGTGTGGCAGCTCGTCGTACCGATGACGTACCGATGGTGGCACCTTGCGGAAGGGTAGCTAGCGTCGTCTCCTTGGGCAGGCGTGGGGAGATCAAGAGGGCATCGCGGGGATCTTCACGCTGGAGTATGGCACCAATCTCGAGGTGGTCTGGCAGCTGTGTGGGCATGTCTGTCCTGCTAGTCAGCCTGACTCGTACCAAGTTTCAATGCGCGAGCTGCAGAACATACCCTTCAAGCAGTGAACGATGATATCCAGATCGCCCGACTCCAGCATGCTCTCCAATTCGCCCGTCCAAAGACTCTTCGCATTCTCGCCTTGACTCAGTTGCTGCAAGGGTGTAATCTTGTCCCTGTCTCCCTGCACCACGACGGGGCAAATGTTGAAGGTCCGGTCCGGGTACGCATCCTTTAAGCTTCGCTCGACTGCGCGGGCCTGGATCTGGGCGAGTACCGAGTTGCGCGTGCCGATGTTGACAGCCGGGAATTGCGTGCTTGCCGATGTGTTGAGGCCTTCCGGGTTTGGGTGAGATGGACCCTGGATGTCGGCTGCTGTTGCGGAGGCCATGGTGAGATGCGTACACGTGGGTAGAGAGGCGTGTTGTCGTGGTGGCTAGGAAAAGATCTCGAGCCCTGGCGGGATGGTGGGGCTCGGCCAACGTCATGTTTACCGCGGCTCGACACTAGCGTCAGGTACACACCAGATGACGGGAACCTTCGGCGCGAACAACCCTGTGACATGTCTTAGAAAGATGAACGGTACGATCTTATCTGCATACATATGAGAACGACGATGGATAGAAACTCAAGGTAATGTCGACTCCAACGTCTTCTGCTTCCACTATCAGCTGTAAGTGGGGGTTCAGTATATTCCTTGAGTACCTAGGTTGATGGCACAATTTCCTCTATGATCAATACAAACAGCAGCTTCAAACACGATGTGGTTTGGATCGACGTTGATTGTTATTATTATGATACAGTAAATTTCCTATTTGCCAATCATGCACTACCTAGGTAGGTAGTAAGACGCGATTACTGGTCTCCGGTGTTGTGGATCGAGTTGGGAAGAGCTTCGTGTGTGTCAGAATCGCGTCATTATTGCATTGTATGTAGAACTCTTACCTCGCTCGACAGACTCGGGAACGATCTCTTGGACCTTCTTGGGGACGATTGAGTCCTCGCCGTCGTTCAGAGCATGGGTCTTGCTGGTAGACTGGCTGTTGGGGTTGCTGCCAGTGGGGTGGACCTGTGGCAATGTTAACATGCTTCACTTCGTGGTAGGTAGATATAATCAACTTACACCTTCAGGGAGGCTCTCCTCGAGACCCTTTGGTGCAGCCTCCTGGACCTTCTTGGGGACGGCACTCTGACCAGTGGCGTGCGATGCACCCTGGCCGTGCTCATTGGTGGAAGACATTCTGATGGAAGTTCGTTTGAAGAGATGTGATTGTTGGATGAAGGGTCGGGAAATAGTGCGGAGCTGTGTGGTGAAAGGCATTTTGGGATGGAATTCGAATGGTATTTGAATGATTTCGATGGAGAGCCTGAAGACAGCAGCTTATGTACATGTGGATGGTGATATGACGCGTGTGGTGACACACCCAAGCCGCATCTCACTTGCACTCTATCATGCGCGTCATGAAAGTGCAGTCCATGTTGCTTTTCGTCCGATCACTAGTGGAGTTTCTACAGGATTGTGAGTGACTATCCGTGGCGAAATAACGAAAACGCCCTGCGTAGTTGTCCAGGTACCTCGCTTGGGTAGGTCAGCGGCAAATGATGCGGTCACGACGATACCAAGGACCGGTCCGCGGCGAGCCTCATGGTGCTCACGAAGCTCATGAAGCCACATTGCAACATGGAAACGCGATCGCCGTAGATTTCGACACAGTTAATTGCCTCCGAGGCGCCGACCTCCCAGATCCGAGGAGCTATACGAAAGGACGTTGATGGCGTAGGTGTAACAATCACCCGCGGTCGGTCTCCGAAGGCCCCGATCGCGCTAGTACGGATGCCTCTCCGCGGGCTCGTATTCTCGTATACCCCACAGGCCATCTTACATTGGATCTGAATCTTGCGCACTCCGCCCAATTTACAATCGTCGTCCTTGCCTTTTGTTCTTACCGCCTAGCGTGACCAAGAAGACGTCATCTTTGGCAACTCATTGCACCATTCCAAGGTTGAGTCTACCTGCATTGTGGTCTTCACGGCCGCATAACTCATGTTGCCCAAGTCTTTCATTCGTACATATGTATGATATCCGAGCTTTCAACAATCACAGCTTCGCCTTGACCCAGCTTTGCACCACCTCTTGACTTCCGGTGCCCGAATCGCCCTTGTAACCCAATATTCGCTCCACGACCATCTCTTCGTGGCACGCTTTTGGCGTTACAACTGTAGTGGCCAGCCCACCATTGCTGCCAAAGCCCTGCGTGAACTTCTGTGCAAATGCCTCAATGCCATCCTTCAACACCTCGTTATCGCCCGCCCATATTAAAACCTCTTCCACAAAATCGGCAACAGGGCCCCACCACTCCGGAGCTGCGAGAACGGGTTCGCTGTAGAAGTCGCCAGCGAATGGAGAAGAGGAGCCGAGGAAAGCAGTGGCCCAGCGGGAAAGGGTTCGCGCGTCAAACATGTCGCGTTGTGCGTTCGTGACGAACGCTGGCGTGTTGGTCTGTGTCAAAGAGCACCATGGCGAGATGAGAAGCGCGGCATGGATCTTGGATGGAAGTTCCAAAGGCGCAATCTCGGGATGTGGATGTGCGAGGTGCGAAAGCAGACCGAGTATAAGGTTTCCGCCAGCCGAATCGCCGCCCAGAATCAGGTCTGAAGGGTTGCGCCCCTCGACGTGCACGAGATGGTGAAGCAGCTCGACTGCCTGCTTCAACTGGCTGGGATATCGGGCTTCTGGTGCGAGATCGTACGCGAGGAGGAGCGCGGATACGCCGGGACCGAGAGACTTTTGGAAGTCATCGAGCCATAGCATATGGCCTGGTGTGCATGGCATCACATATCCACCGCCTGTTCATGTCAGTGAGATGTCCATCATCCTGGAAAGCGGAGACCGACCATTGAAGTACACAAAGACCTTCTTCGCGCTCCTACTACCCAGCCAATGCGCTTGTGTTCCATTGGGCAGCTTGATGCTATCTGGAACAAACTTGTACTTCTCGGCATGCTGAAGGTACGTAGGCGTGGATGATGCGCCGTTCATGTACCGGTCTTGCGCAAGGTCGAGGTTCCCCAGATTGGTCCGGAACATGGCGAACATGATGTCCTTGAAGTACGTGTTGGAGCCATTCTCGCCTTTGAAGGGTGAGGTAACGGAGCGTTGCAGCGCAGAGCCCACTGCCGAAGATGTTAGTGCTTGCTTTTGACCTGATGATGCAGGCGCGTACTGGCTTTGAGCGTCGCCGAAGCGATGCCCAGCTTGCTTACATTCTGATCTGCCATTGTGTTGTGATGGTGCTTGCAATGGCAGCAAGACGCTGCCAGCACCCACAGCACACTAGCTACCCCATGGCGCGCGTCCGAGTCTAGACTCCAGGGAGCCGTGCAAGTGCGGAGAGCGTTACCCGACGAGATTCCCGAGGTTCGCGTCCCCCACGCGTGCTGTCCCCGCGATCGACCAGGGCGGCGATCATCCACTAGGCCTGCTCCGGCTTAGCTTGCTGTAGGCAAAACTCATCGCAGCTGCAGTGTCAGGGTCATGACTCGAGGTAGGATTTGTCCATTTCTGTCCTGAGTCGCAACCCACACGCATCCATGATCAGCATGGCGTCGCCGGCGGAGGCAGACACGCCCGAAGGAGCCCCTAGAGACGATGGTTCGGGCGATGGTCAGCCCAACAAAAAGCGCAGGACTGGCCCCAACTCGCGTGGCGTTGCCAACCTCACGCCCGAACAGCTTGCCCGCAAGCGCGCAAACGACCGCGAAGCTCAACGTGCCATCCGCGAGCGCACCAAGAACCAGATCGATCGCCTCAATCAGCGCATCCGGGATTTGGAGAGCCAGCAGCCATACCATGACCTGCAAGTCGTCCTCCGCGAGAAGGAGGCGGTCCAGGCGGAGAACGGAGACATCAGGAAGAGGCTCGAGAGCGTCCTGAGCATCATCCAGCCTATCGTGCGTGCGACGGGTGGCCTCAATGGTACGATGACTACTCCCAAAGAAGGAACAAATGTTGACAGCAGGTAGAATTGGCAGCTGCTGCCGAGCGATCGCCCCTTCCAATCCATCCTCACCAACAGCGCGACGCGCCTGTGCAACCTACCGAACCACGACAGTACCACATCGCGTCCCACGAGCTGTCTACGGCCTCACCTCAAAACGGAGTACATTCTCCAAGCGTGACTGAGGGGGGAAGAGCATGGCTATACCCCAACGACGCGCCAAACAGCCACTTGCGCCGCTACTCCAATGGCAGTCCCGGGCCGCATTTCGACCAGTCGCGAACACCCCATCTACAGTCAGAGATGCCCTTCGATGAGCGTTTAGGCGTAGACTTTATACTCGACAATGGGCAAAGGAGGGCCGTCGATCCAAATCTGCCCCCTCCACAGCAGCCGCGACCCAGCAACGTCAGTAGTAGCCAGCATGCCATGTATGCACCGAGCATGGTCGCCCACCTCACGTTACCTCGCAATCTTCCGGCGACATGCCCTCTGGATGTCATCCTGCTCGACTTTCTGCAAGATCGTCAGAATCGCGCTGCCGAGGGCGTACCCATGAAGACCCTGGTTGGACCACACTACCCCAACTTCACGTCTCTAGCGTATCCCGAGCGCGCAGTAGATGCACACCCCCTGTCAAAGCTCTTTACAGACATCTTGCGCACGTTTCCGGACATCTGCGGCAGGCCGGAACAGGTTGCGATAGTATTCATCATGTTCCTGATCATGCGTTGGCAGATCGAACCTACGCAGGAGAACTACGATCGGCTGCCACACTGGGCTACGCCACGACCTTCTCAGTTGTTCACTGCTCACGCGTTATGGATCGATCATCTCCCATGGTATGCACTAATATCCGCTTCTTGACTCGTTTGAAAACACATAATGACTGATCTATTCTAGGCCTCGCCTTCGCGACAAACTCGTCGCTGGCCACCCGCCAGTATCCTTCGAGAACTTCTTCATACCCTTCACGACTACCATTTCCCTGAATTGGCCTTATGAGCCCCGCGATTGTCTCCTCCCTGCTTCGAAGGTCCATACCTCGGCGCTCTCGACGACCTCCTCCGTCTCGGTCTCTTCGCCTTTCTCCACACATGTCAACGCCGGCTCGCCGCAAGATCCTTCCACCCCGCAGCCTCCTGCGGCACATACCTCCGCCGGTATCACATCCATGGGTCCGCTACCCAAAGAAGATGACCAGTGGCTTATCAACCCGGCTTTTGAGACGCACCTCCGCGATCTGAATAATTGGACACTGGGCCCAAGCTTCAGAGGCAACTTTCCTGCTTTTGCTGATTGTGTAAAGATCAAGGAAGGCAGGTGACGAGAATTGTAGATGCCAAATCGCGCCGCGGTTAGGCCCTGGCGTGCGGGACAGGAAGGTGTTTATCAGGTATTGCATGTATCTTTACTGTATCATTGGTGGGTAATGTGGTGGCTCTATTGTGTTTTATCATCAGCATTGGGTATTGTATCTTTCCAACTGTACACACTTGGGCATGCATCAGAGGGAGCAGTGGGCTGACTTGGGGTCGCGGATGCTTGCGACAGGTGATTTAGCATTATATCGGTATCATAACGACGCCACACGAAATCTATACCAACATTGTCTTAAACTCTGGAAGTTTTCCTGTCATCATTTGCTCACCAACGTAGCACCACTTGCCGCTTCGGAATAACCAAGTAAATGTGGAGAGCAAGTGAAGGTGAGTGCCCTCTGCACTTTTGCTTAGTAGCGTCGCAACGACTGACCTGACCGAGTAGCTTGCTTCACTTCTCAATCACACCGTACCTACAGTCCCCTCCACCAGACCCAGGACAGACGACATACCGTCTCCCAACAATGACGTCCATGGTTCGCGATCCCCAACGGCAGCACATGCTCGCCTACCTCGACCCCCGTCGCGGCAATCTGCCTGCCAACGTCGCCGAGACCATTGCCGGCAAGTCCAACCCTTTCCGGTGAAGAAATGAAGTAACTGACGGCCTACATGCAGGAAACATCACCTTCCTGATCAAGTACACTGTCGGTCCCAACATACCCGCTTCCCAGATCTCAATCACTGTCGTCGATGTCCGCGGCCACAATGATTGCGAAGTCGGTCACAAGGCAACTGTATGCATCCACTACGGCCCAGGTGACTTTACAGTCATAGTGCGGAAGCAAGTCAAATGGGGCCAGAATGTTGTACAGGCACTCGGAGAGAAGGTGGATAAGGCTGTCAGAGAGATCCTGAAGAACGAGGGGGACGATGGATATGGAGACTTCAAGGACTAGGAATTCTGGGTTCGATGATTGAAAACCGGGTGGGTGGTGACAAGCTTGCACATCAGCCACATGGAGATTCACTACAACCTCGCACTTCCGCGATTGGAATTAGTCGACCTGACTGAAGAGGATAATTGGTAGTCAGTGGGCCGGCTTGTAAAGCAAATTTCCTTCGGTATCCGCGTCATACAAATGATACCAGAACCCAAGTCAAAGCTCTTAGATTATTCCGCCGTCCAGCACGACCCTCTATATTTCACCTAGAATTCACTATCAACACCTGATTATACGGTGACACAGGCTTTGTCCTTAGCGCTAACACCCCAGGTCCACTCTGCCGCCTACACGGAAGTCTCGTACGTCCAAATCTCTCCACTTTATCCTCCCCACTTTGTAATATACCAATCAAGTCGCGATCAATCACCTCATCATGTCGACTGATTCGCTTGAACAGCGACTCTATGATCTCCTACAGCCTTACCGCGAGGAGTGCTACAAGAATGCTCCCAAAACCGCACCGGCAATAGAAGAAGAACGCCTGCTTCTCATACTTTGTGGTACGCAGACATACCGTCCATATCGACTCTTCCGCATTACACTGTATCTGACCTATTCCAAAAGAGAACATATCATTCATCATCCGTCACAACCAGTCTTCGTATGGCAAAATCATTGTTCCCATCGACATCTCCATTGGCTCTCGCAACTGGTCTACTATGATCAAAGGCGGCGGCGGGATAGCTGGAATGGGGATCTTCGTCAACGGGAACGGGTATACACACACCGTCATGCGCTGCTGGGCGAGGAAGGAAGACGGGAAAAGCGTGATCGAGATTCTGACGGAGGAGTGTGACAGGGCGTTGGCGAACTTCTTTCCCGAAGTGAAGGTGGAACTATAATGAGAGCGATGGGCAAGCGCGAAGGCAGCCACGGTGTTATCGGACCAGAGCGAAGACCGGCGAAGATCTTGAAACACTATTGGCAATTGCATGAGTGGTGAGGGTGAAGATTCGAGCTTCCAGTCTATAATGTCAGGTGCAACCACGATGTCTTGGCGTTCTCGTCATTGGAAGTTACCATTTCCCACACTTCTCTCTCCTTCCACAAACACCCGTAGACGATAACCATAGACGATAACCAACCTCCCGACGTCAACTCAAACAAGTCTTCTTGCCGATGTCTTCGCCCCAGCCCGCAAACGCGCTCGAACAGCGCATCTACGACCTCATGCGCCCATTCCGCAACGAATGTTATGAAGCGCCCGACACGGTCGATCAAGTCGTCGCCGCCAATCGCGCTGTCAAACTCGAGCGCAGAATCCTCGTTCTAGCTCGTAAGCCCAAGGCACATCTATCTCGCGCTTAACATCTTGATTGACATGTGGCCAGAGAATATCTCATTCCTCGCACACAACAACATTGCGAACACTGAGCAGACGATCAACGCCTCCGATATCTTCGTGGTGATGAGAGGTTGGACGGGAGACGGAGTGGCGAAAAAGGGTGGTGCGATTGCTGTTCTTGCACGCTATCCGGAGGGTACTACGGGCGTTGTCAAAGCTACGTTCGACGCTGGTGTCAGTGTCGTTGACGCACTGTGTACGAAAGTTGACGAGATGCTTGCTGCGAGCTTCTGAAAGATGCAGCAACGGTTGTGAGCAGACGGTAGTGATGTTGGTGGGCAGGGAGCGATTGGAAAAAGCAGGCGAAAGCATGAGCTCCTCAGTGGTTGGGATTTTACGAGATGCCCACTGTGGCTGAAGAGTTCTAGTACCACGATTGTTTTACCCACTGCTTATAATGTCGTGGAATTAAGCTCATGTCCCAGCTCCTGAGGTGTGACGGGATAATCTGGTTGCAGCAAAAGTGGGGCTTGCTAGTCCGAGACCCCCAGACATGGCTCAAGCTAGGTGTCTGACTCGTGGGCTACATCTGAATGGGCTGTCGATGTTTGCGGCTGCTTATTACTTAGCCCAGCGAACGACTGATTAGTGAGCGGAGTAGGTCGCATGATCCAGAATCTTGCGCAACAACCCGAACTGAGCGCTCAATGCGTCCTCGCCCACTCTCGATAGAAGTCTAGGCATTCGGCGTTTGCAACACTCGCGCTCGTCTTGACGTTGAGTCCGCAAAGTATCTGCTTGACAGCACCTTCAACCTTTTTGCCGTTGGTAGTGACAGGTATCTCTGGACACTCATCCACTATAGCTGGAACATGACGTGCGCTAAGCGCTTGCTTGATCGTTGTCTTGATCCTTCCAACGAGATCAGTAGAAATCTGGCGACCCTCTGCCATCTTCAGAAAGAGCACGACAGTCTCATCCGTATCAGTCTCTCTCCTTCGGCCGATGCAAAGCGCGTCCGCGACGTCTTCAGGGAAATGCTCCAGTACCACGTTATAGATCTCAGCTGATCCGAAGCGTACGCCCGCGGGTTTGAGTATGCCGTCGCTGCGTCCAAGCATCCACAGTCCACCGGTTTCGGGATTGAATCGCACGAAATCGCCGTGATGCCAGATCGGCTGATTCTTCTCATTTGTGAATTTGTCAAAGTACGACTTCCGGTACTTTGACTCCCCTTCGGGGCCCCAAAATGCTACTGGCTGACAGATGAAGGGCTTGGTGCAAACTAGGTCTCCTGGTTCGCCTGACATCGAGACATCGGCACCTGTGTAGTCATACGCAGCGATTGCCATACCAAGACCGGCGGCTTGGATTTCGCCTTCATACACGGGCAAGAGTGGGTTGGGTGCGCCAAAGAGCGAGATGATGTCTGTGCCACCGGTGATGCTGCCGAGATTGATGGTCGAAGGGAAGGCGGAATAGACGTAAGAGAACGTGGAAGGAGCGAGCGGTGATCCTGTCGAATATATCGCTTCGAGCTTGTTCATCGCGAGTCCCGCGGCAGATGGGTCGATGGACTTCTGCTCCAGGATAGAAAGGTACTTTGCGGACGTGCCGAAGTGCGTGATGTCAAACTCGTCTATCAGACGATGCATTGCTAGGTCGTCTGGAACGGACGTCGATGCGTCGGAACTGTCTACGTATCGAAACGGAGAGCCGTCATAGAGTACTAGTGTAGCGCCCGATGCGAGCCCGCTGACCAGCCAATGCCACATCATCCAAGTACATGTGGTAAAGTAAAAGAGTCGTGAGCTAGGTTTTATCGAGCAGTGAATGATGTGTTCCTTTTTGTGTTGGAGTAGCGTACCGATGGCCCCATGAACGATACATTTGGGTGCACCTGTCGTGCCACTCGAGTAAAGGATATAAACTGGATGGTCTGGCGGCAATTGCTTGAAGGTGAGTTCTGACGTAACTTTCAGTGATGTGAATGTTGCGTAGTCGTAGGCTTTGCCAGATTGCACCGGGATAGAGGTGACGTCGAATTCTACTGAAGCTACAGTAGGAAAGATGACGACGGCTTCGAGCGATGGGAGATCCCTGACGATTTCAGTAACCTTGGGAAGTACTGGATGACTCCGACCATTATAGAAGGCCGCATTGTCTGCAAAGAGCAAGGTTGGCTCAATCTGGCGTAGTCGATCGAGAACGGCATGGACGCCAGTGTCTGGGCTTACTGCGGTCCATACTGCCCCCAGCGACGACGCGGCCAACATTGCTACCAACGCGTTGGTGTGGTTCGCAACATAACCAGCTACTCGGTCGCCTTCTTTGAGACCCAAATGTATCATGCCGGTCTGACATAGCTTCACTCTATCCCTGAGTTCCTTCCATGTCACTGTTTCGCGTGTAGTCTCTGTAGCGGCGATGACGGCGGGTGATTCGGGGTCGACTTCGGAGGTAGGGAAGAGGAGATTCTCAGCGAAGTTCAGTGTCGCTCCCGAGAAGAACGCCGGTCGGGGAAACATAGGCAATTCTTCATCCACGGCCTATCGTCTGTAAGTAGAGGCTACATGGATGGGTATACGATGACTGACTGATGTGAAGGCTCCCTGGTGTCGGACACCCACAAATTCCCACGTTCGTTGCCAGAATTCGTTGATGTTTTCGATGCTCCATTTTTGTAGTTGCGAGTAGTCGGACAGTTGCAGGTTGTGTGTCTTGTTCACTGACTGCAAGAATTGGTACATGGGTGTCGTCTCGGGAGAGGAGTGCTTCCAGAGAAGCTTGGGGCCTGTTGATGTGCCATTGGCACCCCTTGTGCCGTTCATCGCGTCGTGATCGTTCCGATAAGTGTTCTCAGCAACCGTAAATACCGATGTTGTGAAGAAATTGAGGTTTGCGGCTATTGCAGGCTCCTAATAATTCTTGACGCCGGTCTCGGTTTCCCCGCGCACCCCATGCGATGTTTGGCAGCGGCAAGTTCCGATACAGTAGCGCATCACGAAAACGTCGCGGTTCCCCACCCCAAACACCACAGCACCTCCATCGACTGTGGAGCCATCATCACGTCCGATCCGCGTATTTCTGTTTGGTATCCGTCCTTCGATCGACTCACCAGGCTGCCGGTGCGTTGCCTACGTCACTCGAATAAGGCCGTGGGGTGTCTACGTCGCGCATATGCGGAGGCGTCAACTACGCGCCCAGGCACCCAATAATTTCGGACTACGCCTCGACTCTCAGCAGCCCTCGCAGCTGTATTACAGCTACGCGAACTCAACAGTTTCATCCCCGTTATGCCACGACTACGAAGAATTCGGGCGGTGAAGGCACGCGACATGCGGACGCAACACGGAGCTTAGGAAGGGAAAGAGCGGCCAAGACATCTCCCTACTATCGCCTCGATTTCGAGTTTCAGCGCTGCGACCGGCACTCTGCCTTGGGGCCAAATTCACCGGTCTGCCAGGGTCGTTCGCATCTAAGATAATGGTGTGTAGAGAATGGCCAGCGCATGCCTCGCCTATCCCTGATGGGGGTAGCGCCTGGTCCTTGCACACTCCTCAGTATCGAGCACCTGCCACTCTATCGTCTGGCCTTCTACGTTTGTTCTTCGATAGTTCGTCTCAGGAGATTGCAAGCGTACTTGGTATACACCACTAGCGCTCGG